GACTAAGACTGACAAGTTTAAAGGATACTGTTATGGAGGTGGAGACTGAAATCCTGAAATAAGGATGGATATGAAGATGGCGACTAAGACTGACAAGTTTAAAGGATACTGTTATGGAGGTGGAGACTGAAATCCTGAAATAAGGATGGATATGAAGATGGCGACTAAGACTGACAAGTTTAAAGGATACTGTTATGGAGGTGGAGACTGAAATCCTGAAATAAGGATGGATATGAAGATGGCGACTAAGACTGACAAGTTTAAAAAGGATACTGTTATGGAGGTGGAGACTGAAATCCTGAAATCCGACTAAGACTGAAATAAGGATACTGTTATGAGGTGGGATGAAATCCTGATATGGATGGATATGAAGATGGCGATTTAAAGGATATGAAGATGGCGACTAAGACTGACAAGTTTAAAGGATACTGTTATGGAGGTGGAGACTGAAATCCTGAAATATATGGATGGATATGAAGATGGCGACTAAGACTGACAAGTTTAAAGGATACTGTTATGGAGGTGGAGACTGAAATCCTGAAATAAGGATGGATATGGAGATGGCGACTAAGACTGACAAGTTTAAAGGATACTGTTATGGAGGTGGAGACTGAAATCCCTGAAATAAGGATGGATATGGAAAGGATACTGTTATGGAGGTGGAGACTGAAATCCTGAAATATGGATGGATATGGCGACTAAGACTGACAAGTTTTAAGGATACTGTTATGGAGGTGGAGACTGAAATCCGGATGGATATGAAGATGGCGACTAAGACTGACAAGTTTAAAGGATACTGTTATGGAGGTGGAGACTGAAATCCTGAAATAAGGATGGATATGAAGATGGCGACTAAGACTGACAAGTTTAAAGGATACTGTTATGGAGGTGGAGACTGAAACAGGGATGCAGGTGGTGAGGTAGAGAGAGACGGGTTTTAGGATACTGTGATGGAGGCAGGGATGATATTATGATGAAGTCGGGGACTGAGATCGGGACAGGGATATGAACTGTGACGGAGATGTGGCATGGACAGGTAGGGGATAGAGACTGATACTGTGATATCAGATGGAGTGAGTTGGTGAGTGTTTTTACGCCGCTTTTAGCAATATTCCAGCAATATCACGGCGGGGAGCACCACAAATGGGCTTCACACATTGACCCATGTGGGGAATCGAACCGGGTCTTCAGTGTGACGAGCCAACGCTTCAACCACTAGGCTACGCCACCGCCCCTATCAGACGGGGAAGGCACGGGGATGGACGATTCTCTATCCGTCAATGGGATTATCCGTCGTCAGCAACATCACATCTGTGACAGTATTAATATGTGCGGCTTACACAACAAAGATAAGGTGACAGTAAAACGACCTACCCACAATCGAAATTCTATACAAAGTCACATTAAAATGCTTGAGTTTGGATATTACAACCTTTTCCTGACAATCCAGCAATAAGACGGCAGGGTCAATCGGAAATAGGCTTCAACACTGAACCTTATAACCATTGAGCTACCCCTATTCCGATCGCCTTTAAGCATTTAGAATCTATTCGGAGGAAGAGCGAGTGAGTGATTTTAGTTTTACGCCGCACTCAGCAATATTCCAGCTATATGGCGGCGGTCTGTAAATAATCTAGTCTGGACCAGACAATCCAGTGATCAACAACATGAGCATCGATCTGCGCAATTGGGAACCGATGATATGTGTCAACCAAGTCAGCGAGCCTGACCACCTAATCCCGTTAGTCGCCTCTTACGAAAAGCATGGGTTACTGAAGATCAATATTCTAACCCGGACCTTCACGGGTAATTCGGAGGAAGAGTGGAGTGGTGAGTGAAATGAAACGTTGGTTTAAGCCATTTTAGTGCTTTACTGGCTTTGACTTGTAGATTTACATGTAATTAAAACTCACAAAGAAGTATTACAGATTTATCACACGCCTTGAATGGTGGGAGTGAGTATGGTTTTACGCCGCTTTTAACAACATTCCAGCAATATCGGGTGGGGTGGGGTGGTGGTGTGTGTGGAGGTGTGTGGAGGTGTGTGTGTGTGTGGATGTGGGGCACCGGAAATGGGCTTCACACATTGTACCCATGTGAGGAATCGAACCCGGGTCCTCGGCGTGACGGGCAATCGCATTAACCACTAGGCTACCCCCACCGCCCCTGAATCGTGGGATCCGGGCTTGGCAAACTGATGGTTTATAGCTTGGCAAACATTCAACTATAGCAGAAAACGTGACCATTCAATCCACAGGCTCAGGCGACGTCGTGGCCTTGCAACACCCATTTTAATAGTCGCTTGTTAGTAGTAAGAATCTATTTTGATCTGGGAAGGTGCACCTGAGTGAAAGTGAATGTCCAAGCTGCACCTTGGCCAACCATTAAACCTGTGGTTGATAGCACGAACAACAATACACGCGATCGAGGTACGATGCTATATTCACACTTGACCTTCCGATAATGGTTTCAATCGGCTTTGAAGACTAGCTCTGAGTAGTGAGATCCTGTTTGAACTCGTTGTGTCTGGGGTAGAACAAAACAGTTCAGCCAGGCGACAGTTTAAATGAGTAAGTGAATGAGTGAGTGAGTGAATGAGTTGGGTTGTACGCTGACTGCAATATTCCAGCAATATCACGGCGGGGGACACCAGAAATGGGCTTCACACATTGTACCCATGTGAGGAATCGAACCCGCGCCTCCGGGGTGACGAGCAATCGCGTTAACCACTGGCCTACCCCATCGCCCCTGAATCGTGGGATCCGGGCTTGGCAAACTGATGGTTTATAGCTTGGCAAACATTCAGCTATAGCAGAAAACGTGACCATTCAATCCACAGGCTCAGGCGACGTCGTGGCCTTGCAACACCCAATTTTTAATAGTCGCTTGTTAGTAGTAAGAATCTATTTTGATCTGGGAAGGTGCACCTGAGTGAAAGTGAATGTCCAAGCTGCATCTTGGCCAACCATTAAACCTGTGGTTGATAGCACGAACAACAATACACGCGATCGAGGTACGATGCTATATTCACACTTGACCTTCCGATAATGGTTTCAATCGGCTTTGAAGACTAGCTCTGAGTAGTGAGATCCTGTTTGAACTCGTTGTGTCTGGGGTAGAACAAAACAGTTCAGCCAGGCGACAGTTTAAATGAGTAAGTGAATGAGTGAGTGAGTGAATGAGTTGGGTTGTACGCTGACTGCAATATTCCAGCAATATCACGGCGGGGGACACCAGAAATGGGCTTCACACATTGTACCCATGTGGGGAATCGAACCCGCGCCTCCGGGGTGACGAGCGAAAGCGTTAACCACTGGCCTACCCCATCGCCCCCCGCGACAGTTAAAAATACTCACCGAAGATCCGCAATGATCCGTGCTTGTCAAGCCTACAAAATCGATTGGTTATGTTTGATTGGAATATATCGAAATGCGTTAGCATAATAGCTAGACGGCATGGATCGCTAATGAAACTTACCAACCCTCGTTTTTCTGCTTTGACCTTTACATACATGGTATGTACTTGTCATGCGGCGTAAAACAACCACCGTCTTCATACCAAGTAGATTAGAACTGCCGTTACGCGATTCAGAAATACTGTTATAATAGATTTACCTTACTGGAGTCATGATGAATTTCCTCAAAATCTGAGAAATAATTATTGTGAATTGGTAGATATCTTAACCTCAGTTGGTTATCATCTAAACCTCACTTGGTAACCATATAAACCTCAATTAGTACAAATCTAAACCTGTGAGTAACCATCTAAACCCCAGTTGGTAATCGTTTAAACCTTAATCAGTATAAATCAAAACCTGTGAGTAACCAACCGAAGATCAGTTAGTAATCATATAAACCTCAGTTGGTAACCTATGAAGATCCGTGTTAGAATTGATCTTCAGTAACCCATGCTTGTCGTAAGAGACAATTAACGGGATTGGGTGGTCAGGCTCGCTGACTGGGTTGACACGGGTCATCGTATCCCAATTGCGTATAGATCGATGTTCACGCTGTTGATCCCTGGATTGTCTGGTCCAGACTCGATTATTCACAGACCGCCTCCATACAGCTGGAATATTGCTGAGTGCGGCGTAAAACTAAACTCACTCACTCACTAACAACAGTACAGTGTAATCGTGTATTAATTGAAATGGGATATATTTCATACACTGTTGCGAATCATAGTAACATATGACAGTGTCGCATATTTTGAACTGGTAAATTTAAAACAGGCTTAATTGTTTTGTTTAGAATTGAATAATTTTAACAATTGAATTTGCTGGATATATTTGTTTCTAAACGCCACACTCAGCATTATTCTAGCTATGTGGCGGCTGCTTCTAAATAATCGAGTCTGAACTACATAATCCAGTGATCGACATCATGAGCAAACCCAAGGTACGAAATGATCTGTAATCTGTACGAAATGATCTGTGGTCAGCGAGTCTGACCAACCTAACCATTAAGTCGGCTTTTAACCCATGGGGGCTGTTGGGTAGCCTAGTGGCGAACAGAGAGGTGGGGTAGCCTAGTGGTTGAAGCGTTCGCTCGTCACGCCGAAGGCCCGGGTTCGATTCCCCACATGGGTACAATGTGTGAAGCCCATTTCTGGTTTCCCCCGCCGCAATGTTGCTGGAATATTGTTAAAAGCAACTCACTCACTTTAGCCCATGCTGAGTGAAAGACCCATTCTACATTAGACTCTCCGCTGGTTTTTTACATTTGGAAGTGACACATTTTGAATATATGTTGTCTTATGTGATATATTTGACATCACGCTCGAGTAGAATCTCAAGACGTAAGCGACAGATAGTCACACATGATTGTCGGGACTGCCGAACACATGTTGCAAGATGTGCCACGATATAACGAGGAGCTTTGGGAATCACGGGCTTGACATGAGACAAACTTTCATTGGACACCAAACATTTGGGATTCCGAGCAAGACAAGTGCCAGACCAGAAGTGATGACAAATGAAAACTTGATGCAACATCACCTACCTTGCGTTGCCGAGTTCTGCTGCTGCTGTCGTCGTCGCGAGGCGCGGGAGGGATAGGCGACGCCGACAAGTAGGAGCACGAGACTGATTTTCACGAGCCAACTCACGTGCGTGTCCATGGGAGCTCGGGGCTCGCAGCTTGAATAGTATCTACATTAACTGTCCCGTTGAAGAGACGCAGGACTAAACGTAGTCGCAACCCCCTTCTGCTATACTGAACATAGTTGGGGAACGACCGGCTTCTCGCCGACAATGCATCCCTTGGTCTTCCAGTATCTTCCTTGACGACGAACATGAACAGAAAGCGACAGACGGTCGCTTGGTCACATGACCACGTGGACTTGAAGCTTGTGGGGGACGTCTGCCTCCTTAACATCACCAGAGGGCGGTATTCTCTTGAAAAAAAACACCCAAGGAATTTTGGCGCTCCTAGTTTGACCAATCAGCACCTTCGGCGGCTCCCCATTGTTAGGTAGCAGCGTGCGTCTGTGCAGGCCTAACCGTGAGGGCTCACGTCGGCTGAGAGGAGGCTGGTGCTACCGAAACACGTACACACATCCCGCCCAACTGTTGATACAAATATATCCAAGAACTCGGACACAAATCAGCGGTGCGCCTCGCCCGTTTCACCCAGTCAACAAACCCGCCGTAAATACCTTTCATACAAGAACGACACACTATGAAGAGAAAAACTCCGCAGACCTGTGCTACCCTTACCCAATCTACGTTATGTGATTACAACACCGCTCACTCGGATCGGCTTGTACAACCTATCAATTTATCAACCACAATGACAAATCAAGCACGCTTTCCGCTGAAGAAAGACTTATGCAATATGGAGCACGTTATATTAAGATCTAATCCCAGCGAGGTCATTATCAGTGAAATCAACCACTGAGGATGCACTCTTGGGCGCATAACCCGTGTTTCTCAAAAGCACTTGAACGCAGTAGCTTGGGATCCCATGTTATACTGTGAAGTGCAATGCGAGAGCTCCGCGTGCGCTTACAACGCGCTTATCCCTATCAATGTTGGGAGCTTGTATCCATGGGCTTGAGAACGACAGAGTAATATCGTACCAAGGCGGAACAGATTCACAGGACACTATACGTTTTAGTATGACACTCCGACCTCTGAATCCAAACTTTACAATGGAAACGGGGCGTGAAGCGATCAAACCAACATTCGTTCCTGAAAACGATTTGATGAGGGAGAAGATGCCAGTGTTTTGCCTCCCACGCAAATCGATATAGTGAATGACACCCGAGCTATGAGGTCTGGTCTATATAAACGTGATATATAGGAGCAACGCGAAAACTCTTCTAAACAAGCCAGTATACTCTTGCCTAACATCAGAATGGACCATAAACTTTAACACAGGACAAGCCGTTAATATTCCACTTACTTGTTGACAAGCCTGACCTGAGTTGTATCCATTTTCTAACCGTGAATTTTATGGGCTGTTCTAAAAAAGAACGATAAAGCCTACACTCAGTTAATAGAATTTAATAAAACGTAGTTGTGTTTGGTAAAGGAAATCGATATTAATCTTAATGACCAAGCACATGAAATCAGTGTGTGTATATATAGAAAGATTTTAATTATTATTGTTGTGAAATAATTATGTTTGCATGAACAAGGGATAACAGACTGGATGGGATCTCCATTCAGCGACTGTCTGGATGTACATAGCTTGACATATAGCCTAACGTCTGGTACATATTGAGGCAGAGAGTTTGTAACAAATAATTACATTTATAGTGCTGATCCCATCTTGCCAAGGTTCACATACGGACGGGGGCGGTGGGGTAGCCTAGTGGTTAAAGCTTTCGCTTGTCACGCCGAGGAACCGGTTTCGATTCCCCACTTGGGTACAACGTGTGGAGCCCATTTCTGGTGTCCCTCGCCGCGACATTGCTGTAATATTGCTAAAAGCGGCGTAAAACCATACTCACTCACTCACGTACGGACGTTTTAAATAGTATTTCAGAAATATAACGGATCTGTTTTGATGTGGGAGAATAAACTGGAAGTGACAAACTACGTTTATAATTTTATCCACGAGCACGTTATGCTGACAATATTTCAGGACAAATCTGGGATTCGAACCAACGACTCTAGGGGTCCGACGCTTATATGACGCACGTCTACACAGCTACTCGTGGCGCGTTAGACAACTGGGATATCCCTGCCCGGTCTATATGAAGATCAATATATACATAAGTTTTTACAATTTTCATTTCAGTCCTAAAAGTTTGCGTGCTAAGGTTCAAAGTAAAGTTGATCCTCTGTAAGGTGTTGTAAGAGTTACTAATAGTTACTAACTGATGTTTAGATGGTTATGCCAAATTAATGTTTAAACGATTACCAACTGGGGTTTAGATGGTTACTCACAGGTTTAGATTTGTACTAATTGAGGTTTATTTCGTATGGTTACCAACTGAGGTTTAGATGGTAACCAACTGAGGTTAAGATGGTTACCATCTGAGGTTTAGATGGTTAATTTATATGATCTGGCTGATGTGTGTCCTCTTTTTCTGACGGCGTGGATTGTTGTCTTTACCATCTACCAACCCTTGATCTTGTCCAGACACCATTACTCACTTCCTGTCGTAATATTAAGGTCGCAATACTGACTTCGGGATACAACACTTGCCCATTCTGTGGTCAACGTCCACAGACAAAAACGGCATCCATTGTTACGTTTAAGCGTTGCACGTCAACACATGATCTGGTAACACCATTCACAATGGCTCAGAGACACGGGTTCTCATTACATAAGCTGAATGCCAAGGCACGACAACAACAAGTACAACCTTTTAACGTCGTTTATATGCTTGTTAATGCCAAACACAGGTAGGTTAACCACAAGCGTGATCTTTTAACGTCTTTTAGTGTAACTTTCCACTTTCTGGTCAAGTGCGCAATGACACTGGGGACATATGTTGTTCGTCTTCACTATTGATGGTACAAGAATTACGTTTCATTTAAAGGTGGTCATCGAACGCGTATAACAATCGCTGTTTAATTCTTAAACGACGCATACTATACCGTCTCATATCTCGCATTGGGGTGGTGGGGCAGCTCGTCACGCTGAAGACCCGGGTTCGATTCCCCACACGTGTACAAAGTGTGAAGACCATTTCTGGTGTCCACCGCCGTGATATTGCTGGAATATTGCTAAAAGCGGCGTAACACAATACTCACCCCCACCCACCATATATCGCATTGCAGTGACGCCTCTTTAATCCGTTCCATGTTAGATGTTTCCGGCTAAGATATATCAACACCATTGTCCGTGATTAAAGCTCAATCCCAGCCTCTATTAACACTTAAACGTCGGGAAAGTTTTCAGGACCGACTGGACGGGTTCTGCTCTCATTTCTTCAGCCATATTGTAAAGCTGGCTAAGGGACTAATTAGGTATGCAGAGTAGCCTCCTTCAGCTGCGCCAGGATCACATTGCCATGCGTTCGAATCCCAAATTCGCTCTTACATAAGCGTATCAGCACCACATCCACGCTTATATCGTGGTCTGCTACAAATACTGCTAAAAGCTGCGTTAAACCAAACTCACTCACTAGAGCTAAAAGCTCAGCCTTGCACTACAAAATCAACTAAGATTATCTTGATTATGACCCTCTGTTCGTAAAACCATACCGACTGATGGCGATAGCCTTCTTTAACGATGGGTATCTTTTAAAGCATTACATTTAAACTCATTCGTTAAGAAGAATGTTGGAGTTGTCGGGTTTGTGTTTGTGGTCGGTGAGGTATCCCAGTGGGTAAAGCGTTGGCTCGTCATGCCGAAGACCCGGGTTCGAATCCCCACATGAGTACAATGTGTGAAGCCCATTACTGATGTTCCCCGCCGTGATATTGCTGGAATATTGCTAAAAGCGGCGTAAACCCAAACTCAGTCAGTCAGTCAGTCAGTTTGTGGTCGTGTTATATATGTCAGCACAATACCGCGAGTGTGAATCTATGTAAGGTAATAACTTTTCAGCAAATGTGTGCTATAAATCTAACGTGAACAAAAGTAATTGCCTTTTCAGATGATAAAACTAAAAAGTTCAGTGTCAAATTTACTCGCTTTTCTGCGCACTGTCACCGGATATACTGATTCACATCCAGTGTTTGTTAAAGCATACATCACGAGTACAAAGAAATCGCTTACCCAATAGGACTGAAATGGGATCAAATTATTTAAATAAGGCAGGTGATATCGTGAAAGTATAAAAAGCAAGCGAGTGACGACAGATGCATGTATTCTCAGCACATCGAAAATGGCTTCTACTTGATCACACCTACTGTCGACATTTCTTCATGTAATCTGCCCAGGACTTGTCACAGGTGAGAAACATCCACGGCTTGACAAAAACCAGATCAACTGTATGTGTGTAACCCTAGCATGTGAGTACAAGTGGTAATGTGTGTTTTTGTTCTTGACAATGGTGACGTTGAATTCTCGACTGTCGTTGCTGATGGTAATGGGTTTGTGAGTTTGTGTCTTTGACAATGGTTCTCATGATACGCACTTTGGGGTGGGACGGTATGTCACACAATGATTCACTGAAGCCTTGTTCTATACAAGGAGGTAGCCAAGTGGATAAAGCGTTGTTTTGTCTCGTCAAGGCCAAGTTCGATTCCCCAGATCAGTGGTGAAGGCGATTCCTGGTGTCTCGCTGCTCCTGCAGACACTGATGTAAGTAACCCCACACCACAGTAAGACATACATCTCGTAGTTCTACACTCATAATAGTGTTACAGTAGGGGAGACCGGGGTCAATTGTAACACTTTTTACTTAACTTCTTGTAGTTCGATCCCAGACGACCGCTCACAAAGTTAATCGGTACTAACTAGTACATTGGCTTCTTGGCTTTAAACCTCAGTGTCGTTTCAAGTTCACTATGATGTCTTTACAAAGTTATTACGTATCAAATGCAATGACTACAAGTGTTACAATTGCCCCTGATGGCAGTAGCCATATTTCATGCCTCGTCACACGTTAACAACCTTGGGCTTCTCAAATATTTCTACTTCCAAATATGTCGTAATATCTAAATTTTACACTTGAAAAGTTAATTTCATACCAAACACCATTTACTGCATTAAGAACGCTTTAATGCGTTTTGTGAAAAATTTACTTACCTATGTGAAAAACGATTTTTCGTCAACTGTATCTCGCCATAAGCGAGCAGATGAAAAACGCCTGGATGAGTACCGCAGGAAAGTAAAGGGAAATAACTCTACTCACCTACACTATGCTTGAGCGAAAACTTTTAGAGTAATCGCCCTTGTTACAATTGACCCGCGTTACAATTGACCCCGGTCTCCCCTATTCGGTATATAAGGATGTAACTTGAAAAGGGTAATTTCTATTTTAACTTCTGAATCCCAACGTGGTAACAGGTGTCCACTATTGAATAAACTTGGTGGATAACAACTTCTTATATTTCGTGCGACGTCTCGATACAGATTCTTGTACCGTTGTCAAACAGGAATGTAACAACACAGTTATGCATAAAGTTT